TTGTTTAATTTTTCAGCAACAGAACCATATTTATGCTTTCCCACCGTTTTGCTTAACTTGGCTTTCCAGCTGAATTACCAATAGTCACCTATTTGGTTTTTGAACACCAGAACTCATTAGCACTGTTCTAGTATAATGGCATATGCCCAGTTAGCCCAAGATAACCAGCACTGGGAAAAAATCCCTCAGCACTAATTTTTGTTGGTTTGTAAAGTACAAGTTATTCAGCCCTACTCAGGCCAAAATGTTTTTTCTTAGTAGGTATTGCTCAATATACTCCTCTTTTAATGGACTGGAAAGTACTCCATGGTTCTCACATGCTATGATGACATCACATTCCTTCTTTGTAAATGCAGAAGAGAAAACAAAAATTCTTTTTGTTATCATTTGCAATATTAGCATATTCATCCACTGACCGGTCTGTAACACAAATCGGATTTATTTGTTATTAATACACTGAATTATACATATTATTTGCTATAACACTTTCATCCATGTTTCTTTTCATTGCCAGTCTTAGCCTTCTTTATAATTTTTATCACTTTACAATTCCTCATTTTATAACTATTTCCTACTCCTGACTTCCCACTTCTGTTTTGTTTATTTTTAATTGCTGTTTTTACTGGTGAACAGATTGGTTCTTAGTAAGAATTGTTCACAAAGATTTTTAAGTTGTGAAATGGTGGGATTTGGGACAATTGAATTTCAAAGACACACCACGTCTCATTCACATTTCATTCCAGTGATTTTACTCATTGATTCTCCTAACAATGATATTTTTAACCTTTATAATTCATCAGGAATATAGCACAAGCAAGTATTGGTGAAGTCTATCCTCTGCTAATCAATACTGAACAAAATTAGGTCATGGTTCTTGGTTTCTAGGCAACCACTAACTTCCAATTCATTTACTTAATTTGTCTTTATCCTAATTAGGTCTAAAATAGATTGACTGCTGTTTGGAACCACATCTTTTGTATCATCTGCACTTCTACAAAGGCCAATGATGATTAGCTTTACAGGATTTCCAGCATAGGCCCCACAAAATGAACTTCCCCCATAACTTTTTTCCTTCCACTATGAGAAACTATTATTTAAATATATTAATGAAAAAAATAGTGGTGAAATAAAAAATTAATCTTCAGATGTCAGGAAGAAGTCAAGTAACAAGCAGGTGCATAGTCTCATGCTCTTTCACCTGCAAATAAGAATAGAAATCTATTTACAGAAAAGCACGCCTTTTTTCTAATTCATAAAACCATGAAAAGCATTGAAGTAGCCTTTCATAATCAGTATGCACTGTTAGTCTTTTCCCTGCTATCTACCTCTTATATCCACTTCAACCCCTCTACAACTATTGTCAAAACACCCTTCTCCAGCTTCATCCTTCCACCTAACTGCTTTCCTCCCTTTACCTGTGATTTGTATCACATAACCTGCTGATGTCTGGCCTCTCTAATCCCTATCAGTAATCACTTACCATGCCAACAGCTCTGCGCTTTCAGGAAACCCCTCCAGGAATCTGCATTTCACTCAACTACCCTCCAAAGCTACTTGGAAATTGTTTCATTTTTTTCAGAGAGAAGCTGAGATCTTGACCTTGTAATTCACTTGTTGCACTACCATAATTTTACTTCTCCCATACTAAATGACTACAGTCATTACAACTAGTTGCTGTCTGATCATTTGTTATAACGTGGTTTAATGAAGTTGTTTATCAAAGTCAGCAGTTGACTAATCTGGATTACTGATTATAATGAGGAAGAGGGTTTTTTCTGCAATGCTGTGATATTAATAAAATACAACAGAGAACTACAATGCTCTACTTTCCTTTACAAACATTAACTCCGCAGGTCTTAGTGCTCTCAATTATTAAGTCAGCATAACAACCAATAGCCACCACGCCTCAGAAATTAAAGTTTAAACCTTCAGACTGTTTCTACCATTTAGGTTTGACCACGTGACTTGCAAGCAACCCAGAAAAAGCCTACATGCTGGACCTATGTCAGACAACTAGCAGCAGGGGCTGCTGAGGCTATCACTTTGTGACCCAGCCACATGCTCAAACTATTCTGTCCTTTACAGTGAAGCAATAGAAAGAGAAATCATTGCCTACTACTCACTTACTCAGTGATAATAGGCACTGTCTCCCAAGTCTCCCATTTTACCCTTTCCCACTAATTTGAAGTTTTTGCCGTGAAGTCAAAGTCCAAACTGAATTTCTAACACAAGAAAATAATAATCCTAAACACAATGAAATTCTAAAAAGATACAATACTAAACTTGGAAAGGCATCATTTTGTTACAGACAAAAATTACTAATTATTTCTTCATTTATTACAGTGAATATATCAGGCTTTCACAGTTTTGAAGTTTAATTCAGTGGAAGCATGGGTTTAGCAACTCTAGAATAGGCTGGGCTTACTGGCACTGTTTCATGTATGTGATTGTTTCTGGCAGTGACAAGTCAATTAACTCACATTTCTTGAGGGACTCTATCTCACTGCCTTAGAATAGTGTCTGAATAAGTTGTTTCCTATATAGATAAAAGTTTCATGCCTATGATGGACAGCTGCAAAAACAGAAAAGATTTCTTTCTCCAGGTTATTTTTTCCATGCCAAGATCTGGTATTTACAATAAGAAATGTGAACATGAATTTCGAAGAACAACGTTGGTTGGAAGGAAAAAAGTAATTTAGTCCAACCCTGATTTAATTCAGAAGGCTCCATGAAGTCAATATAAAACTTAGCAGACAAGTTTGATATTTTACTACATTAAGATGTTTCATAAGCACTTTTGAATGTACCCATTAGTCTTCTGTGTTGAGTGCAGTTTTAGCTATAGGATGATCTAACTTAATTATTGCCTGATGCAGGCTGAAGGAACTGGCTTCTACAAAAACAAATAACAAAAAATCCTATTGTTTTGGAACAGGTGTAGAACATAACACTTTCATTTGTGGTTACAACATTAGTTTTTTCTCCTCCCTACACATATTCATCTGATGCTATTTTAACCATACAGCCATGTCAGCATTTTTATATGCATGTAAATAGCAGACATTCTTCTGCACTTCAGTATCTTAGTTACTCTACATTGTAGAACAAACTAACACACATACTAAAGAGCAGGAAAATAAAGAAGTTAATTGTCATCATTTGCATCAGTACTGTTCTAAATCTAACTTTTAAATCACCACATGACTTTTTATCATCTCATTCATTCATTCATGGCTATGAATGGTGCCAAAGTGTTTCAGGAGAGGCATGTATAGAATCTATGGAATGGTTTTCGAGCCTAGTTTAAAGATTTGCCTGGAATCTGTCTCTCACTGTGGCTGATTGGAGATTGTTAACTTGGAGTCTCCTCCTTGGGATACTGCACCTTTTGGGTTTGAACTTAAGACTGACGTTAAGTTTACAGCGCACAAGTTGATGGTCTGTTTGGCATTCTGCACTGGGCATCACGTGGGTACGGTGGACATCGCGAACATCTCTCTGTTGCACCAAGACATAATCGATGAGGTGCCAATGCTTGGATCTAGGATGCATCCAGGTTGTCTTCAGACTATTCTTCTGCTGAAAGATAGTAATCTCATATTTTTGTTTATAATTACTACATTCGCAATTATCCACCTTGATTCAAGACTGCTGATTTATACAGAGAAAGGTCTCCCTCATGTGGAAATCTGTCTACCAACTGTAAAATAAAAACTGAATTTTGCTTCTTAATAGAGGCTCCATTGCTTAAATTTGCAGATTCATTTAGGGGAAGTATCACTTACTCTGTTTTTGTTTTAGTTCTTTGGAGCTATCATTACGGTGTGAAAGGAAAAAAATATGTTGATAAGACAGAATCATAAGAATTTTAAACATGTATAAAAAGACAAGCACAATACTTGCAAATCCAGTCAGAACACAAGGGAAATTAGTCTAGACAAAATTCACAGGTTTTGGTATAATCTTGCATCCATCAGTTTCCTCAGCTTTCCTTTATAGCTGTGCTGAATACCTTTTGAGGTGTTCTCACACATGTGATTGTCATGTATTGCCTTTTCATGACACAGAAGAACTGCGGCCTAAAACTATAAGTGACTATGACAACTAGAAATTAGTTAATTATATGGGCTGTTAAGACTGCAGAGTTAATCTGTTTTGGCTACAAATATTTATGATTTCTCACATCTAATTGCTGTGGTTAAAAAATAAGGCCTGTCATATTTTGCATTTCAGAAATTAATTAATCTCATTTTTTCCTCCCCAGTTTAAATGCTTTAAAAGAAAATCAAGAAACAAAGTTTCACCTGAACATTCACAACTGTCAGGCTTTTTCCCCCTAAAACAAATTGACAGATTTGACCCAAAGTCAGTGCTTTCAGTTTTCTTTTGCTAGAAAAAGAGGAAGTCTTTTGAGTTGACCAGGCACATTTTCTTATTTCACTGTTGAACAAAAAAGTAAAAACACCAACCATGTTGACAGCTATGGTTCAAATGTCTAATATGTATTGGATAGTAAACACGATTAAAGCTTGTTCATATACATGCTGTAATACTAAAACCAAAGTAAGACAAGATATCTAAAGACAAGAAAAGTGCACTTGGGATTTACAGCTTTATTTGGGTGCTGAGAGTTGCCTGGTAAAACTCATTTTTCCTGATCTTGCAGAAAAACTACAAAATAATTCCTCAATTACTTTCACAGTCCCACAGCTGAAATCATTAAATCTATTGCACTTTTTTGAAGCACCTCTGCATGCCACACTGCGAAGGAATAGGAAAATTTTCAATTTACTTGTATCATTCCCACCAGGGAGATCTTCTTTCATTCCTTCTTTATTTGTATCTCAAAATACTTCACAAACCATCTGAAACCATTATAATTGCTCAAGTACAACATTTCAATGCCAGTGTTGATATAATTTGGAAACCAAAGACCAGACTTGTGATCATCAACAAAAACAAAAAAGTGATGGAAGAACTGCTAAGGTCATAGATTTTGGCTGTTTTTTTTTTTCTTTTTTTAATTATACTGTGTAAGTATATAAATGATATAAGAATTTAACATGCATCAGAATGAAGTCTAAAAGTATCACACATCTCTGGCGTAAAGCTCTTTGGGGCAGGTTCTCAGTCTTGAAATTTGTCAGGAAGCGAGACTGAACCCAAACAATAACAAAAACCAACACGCTTCCTCTCCATCAGAGACAAAGTGAGCAGTCAATACAACAGAAAATACAGAATAAGAAAGAATTTGTTTCTTTTATTGCTGGTAGTGTCCTTTTTATCCCCTCCAGATTTAAAATTCACTCACAAGACACAATTTAAGTACATCTATTAAAAGAGAACTATGGCATCAAATCCCCATATTGATTAGTATTATTTCATAACAATTAAAAAGAATTACCATCCAAATTCCTCAGCTTCACACATATCAGTTTTTTCCCTGATGTGTTGAATTTTGTAGTCCTATGAATTTTTTTTTAAAAATCATATTTTTATTTTTACAATTTAAAAAATCATCAAAAACTGACCCAGTTCGCCTAGAGTGATACACAGTCAAGATGTGAAATACACCGACATTTCCAGCTCATTCCATACTTATATGCCATTACAAAAGAATCATCATTTTACTGAACACATAATCCCTTACTCAATAAGAAAGCTCTTTGGTTTGGTTTACGCCCCAAGAAATTTTGCAGCATATCCATTCCATCCAAAGATCCTCCAGGTTTCAAAATAAGGTTTCTGTATTTCATCCCAGCCTGAAGGTAAAGCAGAGTGTTAATACTTCTTATCTTGCCAACTGCCTCTTTTTCTGTATTTTTTGCATATTTAAAAATCCACTCATGATAAAACAACTTTCCTCCTTCCAGATTTCCTTAATAACAAATCAGGATACAGCACAAGTATAATTTAGATCTGCTGGAAGAACTCAAGAGAGCAGAAATTCAACCAATTCTTGAAGAAATTATTTTTCTTGTGGTTTTACACTGGTTTGGAAGCTACAGTCATAACTTGTCTGAAAGACATATAGCATAACAAACATACAATCTCCTCAAAATCTTCACTGATGAATTATCCCTGTGACTGACTGGTAGGAAAAAAGGCCATAACATCTTTTCTCTCTTAACTGATGATTTCTCTATCTTTAATCTCTGTTTGGAGAACAGAGATGATACTCCAGAGATAGACAGCTGTAGCATTGCAGAATGACAAGCACATATACACATATTATATGCACAGTAGTATATATAATATATCCAAACATGTAATGGGACTTAACTCAGGTTTTACGTCCAGCAATAAACATTATTGCTTCAGAAGGAATGGATTCCTATTAAAAAAAATGAATGAAGTTTCTGAGACAACAGGAAGTAATGAGGAGTTTCTTAATAAGAGGTTGTATTTTAAAGAACATATTATATCTGGAGAATTTTGGGCTTCTGAGACATGACTATAGATAAGGAAATGTTATTTGCATGCAGATGTCCCAGATGCTTCTGATACCGAAGAAGACACTTTTTTCCTATTAGTCAGTATATATACATGCATACACTTCCCCCACAGCTCAAAGCCATGGGATTACAGGACCACATTGCTTCCTGATAACTGTACTGTAAAAACAAGCACAGGTCCTTTTAAGTGATGGACTTCCAAGACTTAATTGAACTACCATTTGCAGTCTGCATTACATTAGCCATTTAGAATTGTCTGAATTACTGCTGCAAAAACCTAAAAAATTCACTGAAAAAAAAAAATTCACTGAAGCACTGCTTATACTTCATTATTTGGGTTAGTTTCCTGAACATCAGCAGCAAACAAAGATTTTATTCCTTGTCAATCAAAAGTATTATTTGAGTAGACTTGAGTCTTTGCTGTTGTCCCTTCAGAGCCAGAACACTGCTTAGTTCTAGGGAGACCAGAGGTTATTTCAGATAATGTGGAAGAACTGAGGAGTGTGGTAACCAATTAAGTTAGTTAAGTGTTTGCTGAAGAATTTTTACAGATCCAGTCTCTGAGACTAGATTGTATAACTGTTGTTCAAAACAGGAAGATAGGTTTTATTCTAACAGGAAGAGGTAAGCCAAATTTCTAAAAGCCCTAGTCATAACACCATAACAACCTTCTTTTCCTGCTATTCTGAAGACTAGTCTAACTCTAGATATAATGAAGTATGAGTACTACAAAAATCGAACAGTTATCTAGTATTTGTTTATAAAACAGTTTGTTGCATCTTGTGGAACACTATTGCACTTAGATAGAATGCTTCTTTGGGTTGAAAAAGAACTAATATGAGAAGATAGCATTGAAAAGTGAGGGAAAAAATCTCCACTGTTACACCTCAAGTTATATCAGCAATCAAGGCAAATTGTGTGCACATATACAGTAGAAACTGAGTGACACACACACATGAATAATCAGTTTTCTTCCTAACTTAGCCTGGATAGCAGGTTTCCCATTAAAAGAGGTACTAGTTGTCTTTCAGCTGTACCACAGCAAATATTAATTCTTATCATACTTAATTTATTCTCAAAGCCTCCCATACGCAGGCAAAGAAAACAAAAATTCTCACAAAAAGCAGAATAAAAGGCATCCCCCAGGAGAAGTAAAGGTAACAGAGCAATTCTGGTGAACTATGGCTTAGGGTTTTGACTATACAATCACTCAAAGTGTTGAGACTGCAAAGTAAAGCAGAACAAAAGGTCTGTGATGACACTGGAGGGGCACCATCTGTGTCAGAACAGAAAACTGACACGAAGTCCTACAACTTTGGCACCAGTACCCTTAAACCATCTCTCCTAAATGCTAACAGTTATAAAACCCAGCAAGTCTGACCTCTCCTGAAATCCTATTTTTAGGATCCACATGAACAACATTTTATAAAAAGTTATTTTATTCTCTCATTTAGCTTGATACATCTTCTCTGCTGCTCTTATTTGCAAGTGACAAGACTGCCAATGAACAAACAGGTCTGCTTATTCTCACATGTACCTGTCATGAATCCCCATCCCTGTAGTATCAGTCTTGACCTCCAAACTCTTTGTCACTTCTTCTCTAAAACTGTTAAGTTGGCTGCTTTTCTCCATAAAACCCCTTTTGGTTTTACTGGCCTCACCCCATCTGCTCTTTGGACTCCCCTCTTTGTTCAGATCAAAATCTAATCTTGTTTACTGTCACCATCCTCTAGAGCGATGGACAGTTCTAGAAGTTCTGGCTGCTGTGATAAGGAAGGAGAGGAAAGAAGGCAAATTCCAGGAGAGGAAAAGGACAATCATACATTTTTCTACTCTTTCCTTTATTTCCTTCTTGTGTACCTCTACTGAAAGGAAGAACTAAAGCTGGCAGCTGAATCAAGAACACAAGAGGATCAAGACCAAACTTCGCCAGAATTAGCAGGACTACTAGTCACATCTCTAATTATCCTTTCTTTCTGCTTAAGGCAGAACAGATTGGAGAGTTACACAAGAAAAAAAAGGCCCAGTAAATCTAGAACCTCTTAATGATTAGGACTTCAAAATGGACTTGGGAGTAAAACTAAAGATAAACCAATTTGTGCATTATGCTGTGCTGTGACAGAGAAAGCTCTGAATTAATTCAATTTTCTATGTAGTAATTACATAAAAGGACCACACAGTTGAGGTACACAAAATGTACTGGAAATGGAAACAGAACACTACTATCATACAGGTTTCACAGCAGATGAATATGCATCTGTTCCTGCAACAGAGAAATGTTTTTTCAGACTAAAATTACAGAGGAAGGCATTAGACAAGGCAACACAATGTCTTAAGTCTTATAATATTAAATGCATAATGATGTAAGAATTGTATTAAAATCTAAGTGCTCTTGAAAATGTCAAGATTATTTTCTAAAGTTACTGATACACCTTTTTGTTGTTGATCTGAGTTTGACAGGTACAGAAGTACTTGAGATGTTATACCTATGGATCAAGATGGCAATAAATGTTGTTTCAGAGACAAAGTGCAACAAAGTGCTTGTTAAAAAGTATTCATCACCTACCTTTGGATTCATTATTCCCTCTTGCTTAAAGCAGCTATAAAAGATATCCATAGAAAACACTTCACTCCACAGGTATCCATAGTACTGACCATCATAACCACCTGCCAGATGTCCAAAAGTAGCTGGCATGTTTGTTCCTTGAAAAGTAGATTAATATTAAGTTATTTTAATAAAATACAGTACTTCAAGAATAAATTGATAAGGAATTTATAACAACTACTTTGAAACTTTTAACATAAAGGGTCTGAGTATGCCTCAAAGTATTGGACAAACTCGCTGACTACAAAGGAAACTCAGTTTCCCATTTTAGGCTACTTGTACCTCCAACACAGATGTGACAGAACATCTAAAGTGGAATTCACATCATGCCACATTAAAATATATCCTGAAAAAGGTTAATTTTTATATTTACCTTAATTTTCCTTCAGAAAAGGTCATTAAGATAATGCTAAGTTTCAAAATAACTATTTCGGCTTCATAAAGTAGACTATTTCATAAACAGCTCTAGGGGGTTTGTATGCCAAGAATTACTGGGAAGGAATGGCATGTTAAATTGAACCATTTGGACATGCTGTATAAAAGTTTCATACTGACATACCTGGAGTGGCAGGAATTCCTAGAATCTCCATACAGTATTTAGCATATTCATCCGCTGGGTCAACAGATAGCTTTGTATGCAGTGCCTGGTCAACTTTGCTCAAAACAATCTGACGGAGGGTTAAAAGGCCTAAGTGGGTAAGAACATTTAATTAACCAGCATCAAAGTAGCTGGAGTTTCATTTGCATCTTTCCTTCAAAGATCTCAACATGCACATTAAATGATTAGAATTTTAACCATGGAACAAACTTGGAGTTGCATCGTTCCCATCTGAATTGCTCCAGTTACAGAGGCAGAGTTTTAATAAAGGAATTGTCACAATAAGTTCCATCTTTTCAAATGTTATTTTCCTCACAGATCAAAAATAAAACAAAGCAGATATTTTAAAGCAAATCTTAATATTTAATGTTTTCAGCTGCCATTGCTTCCCATATACCATTTCACTCAGAGTTTGAACAGCTGGTAGTTAGTATATCTACCCTAAGACACTTCAAAGAACACCAAGAACTGCTGCAGCAGCTGCTGTAAGCTTTTTTTAAGAAGCTACAAAATATGAACCTTTACCCAGACAAAATGCTTTGCAGCTACAGTCTGTACAAGCCACAGGGACAAAGACTTCTTGTTCAGGATAGGAAAGCAGTATGAAATAAACAGCAGTGTCTAATGACAAGTTGTACTATAAATGAGAAGCCCTGATTAGAGGAACAAAGGGGTGGGAGTGATAGAATAACAATGATATGATAGGCAATGACATGAGATTACAATCTCAGTTTGGAGATACATATAAGGTAGTACAAGATGGGGCAGGAGAAGAAAATTAGAACCTTAGTTTGGGAAGGCAGTATATCTGCTGGGAAAGTAGAGAATATGGACTTAAGGTTCTGGATTTAGAAGTTAAGAGGCTATTTGAACAATGCAGGGCTACAACACTTCTGTCTGGGATATGTTATCTATGTTCATTAAATCTGAAAACAACTTCCATGTCTGTCAAGCGTCATGTGCAAATCAAATGTAGACAATACATACAGAAAATCTGACAGTATATTCACTGTATGCACAGTGCCTGCTCTGGACTACAAATAAAATAAAAACCAAAAACCCCACAGCAGACCCCTCCTCTTCCCCCATCACACACACCACCAAACCTCCCCCCCCTTCCCCAGTTTTAAATGAACAATGCCGGTAGGTAAAAAAACCACATGAAGAGGAAAAATTTTTAGTACTGTGGGTGGCCTGGAAAATCAGAGCTGCTACTGTCCAGGAAAACAGTGGTACTATCATCATAGCCTTTATTAATGGGGGTACCCAAAGAAATAAACCTAGAAAGACAATGATAAGTGTACACACAGAAGAAACTGAATGGGCTTTCTGTGTTCATCAGTTTTTTAAATAATGTATTTTTGTACATATACTGTGGGGAGAAAAGGCAGAGAGATACCTGTATTAGCCAGTCTAGAGGCAGCAAGTTTCTCAAGGAGAGTGTCTCCAACATGGGTTTCATCTTTATAATGTCTTGACATTTGCTGTAGTGGTTCTTTCTGCCACACCCAGTTTTCAAACATTTGTGAAGGTACCTCTACAAAATCTGTTTCCACGTTAGTTCCACTAAACCTAGCAAAATCAGTCTAAAAGAAAAAGCCATTGAATTAAATGAAAATAGAAGCCATGATTTCTAGCAGAATACAAATTTTCATATGTCAAAATTTCAGTTTTAATCGCAGCAAAAGGAATCATTTGAATAGACCAATAATAATAGTTTAAAAATTAAATTTAAAGAAAGGAGGAAAAAGAAAAAAATCAAGACATAAGACTATTACCAAGGAACAAACTAGATTTCTCAGTGGTTATTTACTGCATTATCGACTGGTATGGAGCAGTACTTCCATTTTCTTAACATTACTGATTTTTATCTTTTAGGTTATGACAGCAACACAAATGTCAACCACTGTCAAACAGCACTCCCAGGTCCTTTTCCCCTGAGCAGCTTTCCAGCTGCTCCTCCCACAGCCTGGAGTGCTGCCTGGGGTTGTTGTGATCCAAGTGCAGGACCCAGCATTTGACCTTGTTGAGCCCCATACCATTGTGCAGATCTGTAGAGACTTCCCACCATCACTCCACCCTTGTCTTGTAATAGGTCTACCTCCTCTTGCCAGACCAATTTTATGGTTTTTTTCCCCCTTCTTATCAACATACTAACAAAACAGATATCCTCATTTAACCATACACATTATCCATGCATCACACTAACAAAAGCCACTAGACATTTGGGTCAAGTCACTTCAAGAGCTCTCCTAACAGCATAAACAAATCCCCTCCCTGCCCTGATCTCACTTTCCAGCAGTATCTCTCTCTTTTTCCAGTGTATTACACAGACTATCAGATCTTCACCAGCAGCTCACAGATTCCCTCCCATAGGCAGCATTTAAATGTCAAGTCTTAACATGCTTAAACAAATAATCACATGAAACAAGACAGTGTTTTGTACACACAAACTCCAAAGACAGGATGTTCTTATGTGGGATTAGCAAATCCGCACACATGCAAATAACAATTCACATACAATACAGCAGCACTAAGCATGGTAGCTATGCACACAAAACCCACCAGAGCAGTGTGAGAGACAACTGGAAAGGAGGCCTCCCTGACATGTGTGCAATTCCATAGCAACTAAAATACATATGGAGTAGAATTGTTGGCTTGAGCTGCCCCAGCTGGACTCCACAACAACCAGGCACATTCTCACTGGTTATGCTGCAGTCAGTTCTGTACAGTTTCATACCAATGCTGAATGTGTTTCATTTATAAACACCTTCTACATAGTCTAGGTTTTATTACTCAATTTGTGGTATGAGAAACACCTAACATAGGGTGAAGATGACATATTTTTCCTTTCAACATGATTCAAAAGTATCTAAGCAAGTCTAGTTTCTTATTAACTCTGGATTTAATATATGGATTTGTGCGACTATTTCTTTATTCTGCAGTCTCAATCTATAGGATAATGGTCAAGAATGTAATGTGGATCATACTTCTTTGATTTTATTATTTGGTACTTGTTTATACAGAAGATGAATGAAGTGCTACACAAAGTCTGGATTTGTAGACAATTATGTGGATTTTTTTGGTGAGTGAATACTGACATCTCTCTCTGTAATATAAAATTTTCATTACACTAATAATAAATTTATCATCTGGCAGAATTAATTTTAGATATAAGTAAAAATGAAACCAGAAATATTACAACTTTATTGTCATCTTGATGCAAAATCTGAAACTAACTTCAGTTCTGTCTGATCACTGTAAGAAACCTATCAGATAGCAGAGCAGAAAATACAATGGCTCAGGCATTTATGCTTTTGATATCAAGAGTGACAGCACTCAAGAGTACTAAATGCCAAAAGGTCATCTGGATTTAGAAATTATTTTCATTCATAGGTACAGGACCCTTTTTTACTTTTAATATCCAGAAGTGCAACTTGATGTAATAAAAAGCCCTCTGACAGAAACCACGACAGAGCATCTTCCTCACCTCATACATCTATCTACCTGTGACGACTGAAAAGATGCCTGCATGATGCAAATGCAAAAGTATATGTCTGTATGAAAATGTTTTTCATAAGGAGGTGTATTTATTGCTTCAGTTTTAAATAAAAATTAAAACAAAAACCCAACCTGACACTGTAAAAAATAACCGAAACATCACTAACCTGTGCACATATCTGATGCATTACGTGACCAAATTCATGGAAGTAAGTCTTTACTTCATCATGTCGCAGTAATGATGGACGATCCAATGCTGGTTTTGTGAAGTTGGTTACCAGAGCAGCAACAGACATCAATCTGCTGCCATCAGAAAGGAGACAGCCAGGCTGTAGACCAAAGCATGCTGCATGCCCATACTTTCCCTCTCTGTATAAGAAAATAAACCAGACACTATCTTCAAACCTGCTCACCAGAATGGCGAAGCCTGTTCAAGAACAGGGACAATCAGTCAGTGTCTTTACACACAGCTTTACACAGAAAAATTACATCTTTTCATGACTTCTAGAGACTCAGAGTGAGTCTCTTAAGAGCACAAGTGGAAAAGTGCCCTCTGTAATCTTGTACTTAGATCACAACAATTTAAGATTTTCAGCAGCATTTACATGAATCTGATTTTTACTATAATACTGGAAGTATACATACTTTAGATGTTCATTCTGTTTTAAACTGCAACTGTAACAGCAAGGACTAGGCTGTATTCTCTGAAGCAGTATTTTTTTATTTTATGACAGGAGACAAAAGAATACAGTACATTGCATTTTTTACGGTGATCCAAGAGTTTAGAGAAAACTTATTTTGAAAATTTTGCCCTAAACTACCCAGTTAATACTCAGGTTAAGTCAGAGAAGTACTACTGACACATAGCTTCAGCAATTCACATGACACACATAAAGATGGAAGCAGGCAAACAGGTGAAGGAGATAGGTACATTATCCTGAAAAGAATAATTTATGTACTATTGTACTGACTAACCTAAAAACCCAGTGACAGTCAAAAAGGAGTAGTTCAGAATAAATTCTGTCAAATCAGTCTAGTTTCACAATCTCTGACAAAACAGAGATGATGCTGTAGATAGCTACAAAGAGAGCTGGAGAGGTAGATATCAATATGTAAATCTCAATGTCTGCTCAACAGTAATCTATTCTTGCTACTGATCTATTTGACATTTTCTCTACCAGTCTGGCCAACAGGTTAAAAGTACACATATAGACCAACAGAGTACAAAATACACATATAAAGTGTAAAAAGGAACTAAGAGAAACTAGGAACACTCAGCAGACAGAAATATAATTGTTCAATAAAAATTAAAATTAAAACAGTATTAAGGTAGAAAGGAGAAAATTCATAGATTATGGATATTATGGATAACTGACTTAATAGCAGTACTACAAAAGAAAAATTTACAAAGTAGCAATGCTTCATAAACTGAATAGAAGCAAGAACTAAGACAAAATCCATTTTAAACACATAACTAAAACACTAAATCATAATTACCTGGGGTAAAGATCCAAATAGAACTGCCCTAACATTTCTCCTGTTGATTTATCCTTTACTGCATAAAGAGTAACACTGTCATGCCAAACATGAGCACTTTCTACTCGCTCAAATACAAGTCCCAGCAGCTCCTGGTAAATATTCAGTAAGCCTTCTGTAACAGCCTCAATTGGGAAGTATTCCTTCAGTTTTTCTTGATCTATAGAGTACTTCAGCTCTTCAGTTTTGTTCATATAATAATGAAGATCCCATGCATTGATTCTTCCATCATAATCAAAGTTTCTTTCTTGACACTCCTTTCTCTTCAAATCTAAAATGAATTCTCTTTCTTCTTCAACCAGTGGCTTTAGCTTCTTACTCAAATCATCTGAAAAAAAGATTGCCTTGGAGTCAACTTCTACGTTACTATAATGTGTATTCCTATAAAATACACTGAAAACTTTAAGCACATGCTCCAGAAGTGGAAGCTAGAGTTTTCCATTCATTGACCAATTGTCCATGACCAATTGTCCATTTTCTTGTCCTAGTGAGCCTTAACTGCAGGCATGCTGTGATACAGTACTCCAGTAGTACTACAGTACTAGGGCAGACCTAGGAGAGCTGTGAAGGGTGTTGAATTTAGATTTTTTCAAAATGGAAAGTAACACTAGACACTTTTGCTTGAATCCTTTGATTTTATCTCATGTAATCTCAATTTTCTTAATATATTTCTGTAGCAGCAGCAAAAGACTACAACTACCATTAGTACCTGCAAGGGCATCACAAAATTCAATACTTCTAGCTAAAGCCTGATAAAAGAACAAGAGACTCAAGAGTTCTTGATTCCAGACTAGCAAAGTCACTGGGTGTTAATCTCTATGGTACAAATACTTTCCAATATACTTATCTTGGACAAGAAAGCACCACAGCACTATGAAACACACACATTGAATATAAAATAATTAACCTTACTGAAACTTCCATAAAGTACCTACTGTACTTATTCTCTTATAAGTATTTCTGGACTATCAGACACTTTCTTCTTTCTTAAGAATTCAGATGAATGTTCATTGTTGATATCTAGAGTGTAAAATCGAGGAATTGCTACTCCTCTTTCTAGGTAGTCTGTAAGGCACTATATATAATTACGTTACATTTACATGACTGAAATACTTGTATTTCATGATTGAAGCTTGCATTGTGCTAAATTCAGAATGTGTCATAGGAGAGAATGCTCTTCTTCTTAGCTGTAAGATCAGCTTATGAACACTGATTTAAAACATGAACAGATAGGAACAAAGTAGAGCAAAATATACTGTCATGCTTGTAGCTGAGGATATATCAAAAGAACTAAATTAAAGGTGACAATTAATTTGATGAACATTCTCCCTCTGTGAGAATTACCACGAAGCATGATATTTATGAAAAGTATATGATCTCATATGCTTTTACTTTGTAAAGCAACTGCTAGATTTTGAGTGTCAGCTTCAAAACAAATGAAAAAACACAGTATTACAATAATATAGTGGATATAAAAAGAGTCCAAAATACTTTACGCACAATTAAAAAACACCAGGTAATTCAAACATTTAATAACGCAAAATTACCTGTGAGTTGTCAAATATATGGATAATTGGTATGGCCAAATATGCACCTAAACTGAAGGAGCATTTCAGAAGAAATGCAAAGAATTACAGGTGAAGGAAGAAGAGCATTTGAACCTCTTTATTGATGCATAAACACAAAAAGCCCACTACCAACAAACATACCTTATTTTTGTACTAAATTATTTGGGGGGGGTTATTTGTATGATACATCAATATACACTCCTAAGTGGTGTTAGGACACGTTAATAAAGGAACACATGCTACTCTGTGGAACTACGTAATTCCAGAAAGTAGAGATTAATTCCATGCAAAAGAGTGGCCCACTAACGTCAAAAGCATGACTATAAATTCATAAACTGCTCAGTTCAAAATTTTCAAGGTACCTCTGTTATCAGATCAAATTCCATTACAAGGCTTTTGAATTCCAGATTTAATCCATCATTCCAGATTTAATTTTTTAATTCAGATCATGGAAGTTGCATCATCCCATACTGTAATCTTTCATTATACTTAACGCAGTTGAATCAGAAAAAGACACCAAGGCTACGGATGCACAAAAAATTGTGCAAAAAATGGGAAAGGAAAGCTGCAACTCTGATGCAGCCTCTTGAACTGATAAAATTGGCTAGGCTGCACATATTACTTTGGTTCTAAATTAGGATAACCGCATTTTGGGGCAGAGAAAGACACAACCACTTGTTTATATCGGCTGTCACAAAGCAGCGATTTTCAGATTTTCGCCTTGTGCTTCCCTGATTTGGAGCAACTGCATTTGTACAGCTACAGTCTAAAAAATACATGTGCCAGAACGGAGGCAGCAGAGAGTTCCTTTTCTAGCTACACATGATGGATACTGTGACCCAGTTATGTATTTAAAATAATCTTGGCTGAGTAATCATGTTGCCACATCAAATATAAAAGTATTGCTTATAAATGAGAACAAACCTAAGAAGGTTGTTACATTATCTGTGCTCTTTGCAGTGTTTACCTCCAGGACAAAGTTGGCATGTGTATTATAACCAAGAAGCTCTGCTACTTTTGCCCGTAGTGGAAGCAATTGCTGAAGAATTTTTGTGTTCTCCTAAAAAAGAACGTGAAACCAGAAAACACATGTTATCAAAACATCTGAATAATATCTGAAATCCTATGAAACACTTTAAGATATAAATATAAAAACCCCTAAATTTACCTAGACTATTGGAATTTTTTTTCACAGCATTTGATTGCAGATAGCTAGTATTCTAGTTGATCACAGTCATTACGCTCCCTATTATAATTTATCTGTTTTAATTAATCAAAATGGATACCATTTCCTTTTAGGATACTAACAGTTGTGAAGAGTTTAGTTTCTTTATCAATCATTTAACTGTGAAAGGTAACAGTGAAGCTGCTGACATCAGGTTTAATTGCTTGTTAGCGATGAAGACAGCTTGTAAATGTATTGTGCCAACATTCAAAACCTGTTTGCAAATTTCCCTCTTTTGCCACTCTGACAATAGCAGTCAGAGAAAGATCTGAAACACAAAACCCTAAGCCCTGACCTAAATGTGCTGGAGGATCCTTGAGAAGCTGAAAATATAACTGTGTAAACCTCTAGTTCTGGAAAAGTGAGATTTCTCAGGGGAGGAAAAAAAAAAAAAAATCAAACCCTGGATTCAAAGATTGTTCCACAGTTTAACATCAAGTACCCTTATGTGTGTTGACTTGCAAAGTGTTCAGTTCTTGATGCCATTTTATCTTATCTTGTATTCATTTCCCAGTACTTCAAGCACAAAAGTTCAACTCTGTCACTGTTCTCTAATAAATGGTTGGTACAACTGTCTGAATGACATATTCTCTATTCTTTTCAATTTTTGTACCTACCTAGTTGTGTGGTCTCATCAGTATAAATTAACTGTGAAATTATTTCTTCTTTTTATAAGGCAGGCTTCCAAATATTTTTCAGATCATTAAATACATCTTTTATAAAAAACAGGAGGGCTTTTTACATCTAATTAAAATTCTCATCAATATGCAATGTGTTAATTTCACATTTAATCACCTTATTTTATAATTAAAACCTGTGCTTAAATAACCCCTCTCATTCTGAAAAATCCCAAAATACTATAGAAGCCACAATCAGACATCCTTTTCTGTGAGCAAAGTGTCAGTAAACATGTGCAGAACACTACAAGGAAATTTGATAAAAGACCAAAATCCTATTTCTATTAACAGCACCACTTGAAGATTAAGATATGTACACACACAGAGGCAGATCGTCAACTTCTAAGGTCTCTGGACATCAGAATAAACTGAAGCAAGGAACTTTTAGAGATCACACTGATAAGTTTTGATTTAATAATAGCAGAACTCAAATATAACATTCGAATGTCTAGCTGCATTTTTTCAATTCTGTCATTGCACTGTAGAACAACCAATACACAACATACCTCTTTGCATCTCGAGTTAAAGGCAGATTCCATTTTTCTCCTTGTTTCTGAAATGCAGCACTTCTTCATAACAGGAAAATAGTGGGGATATTTCAAGGTTACTTTATATTTGTCTTCCTCAGTCTTCTCTAAACTATTAATAAAGTCATCAGGAAGGCCATCTATGGAATAGAATTTAATAAACAGTAATTACCAGAAATACCTACTCCCCTGTTTTTGTAAGACTGTTGCATTTGTTTTGCTGCAATCTATTTTGAAATTAGAAATCTCCACAGAAAAAACACCTTTTTGCAATTTGTTATAGTTTCATACTTTTTTCTTTTTGCCTAGTGAATTTTCCCATACCAACAGTCTCTTGCTACTAAGCTAAGACTTCGTTGTTAGGCTAGCCCGGGCCTTAACGACTGCCCTATTGAAATGCTAAATAACATCGGCACACGAGCGAAATTGTGTAAGGGAATCTCCATTCCCTCGGTAGCCACCGTTGGAGAGGGAAGGGAGGCCTCAGTTGTTTTTTTTTTTCTCTGGGGATGGCTCTTTAGTTCTTCCCTGACTCAGGGAGAGGTGTGGAGGGGGAGGTTCATTTTTCAGCCGGGTCACTGGCTTCTTCTGGCCCCGAGGGAGGTCCCGGTTCGCCTACGATTCCTCACGCCCTGCTCTGCCTGGACTTGCCTCGGATTCATCAGAACGCGGATACCACCTGCTAGGAACCGCTGAGGGGAAAGGCGGCCCTTCCCCTCCTCCTTTCCCGTGTCGGCGGCGTTTGCACCCATTGACGAGGAAAGGTATCCCAGCCAGAGCCAGCCTCTGACAGCATGAGTCTACAGGAGGAACCACCCTTTCCCCTTCCCCCTCTCCCCTTCGGTGGTGGCCCGCCTCGCCGGGACGTGCCTGGGACCGACCCGGCTGCCTCCCCGGGACCCGGGCCTCCCCGGGACCGACCCGGCGCCTCCCCTCCGACCGGCCGCCCTCCCGGGACCGACCCGGTTCCCTCGCCTCCCCGGGACCGACCCGGCCGCCTCCCGGGACCGACCCGGTTCCCTCCCCGGACGGACCCGGTTTCCCTTTCCCTCCCCCGGGACCGACCGGTTCCCTCCCGCGCCCCGGGCGCCGCAGAGGCGGCGGCACCCGAGCCCGACAGCGCCCCCTGCCGGCCATCGCGGAGCAACTGCAGCCCCCGTTCCTGCGGGCCCAGCAGCGCCCCCTGCTGGCCGTAAGACACCGCAGCCCCGCCTCCCGGGGCGGCAGCGCCCCCTGCTGGCCGTGTTTGTAACTGCGCCGAAAGGCGAAAAGCGCAATTGTTTTCGGTGGAAGATGGGTTACGGAATTGTCGCTTGTTCTTTTATGTTACATATACATATTTAGTAAAGAGCTGCTACTTTCTTTTCCACACCTTTTCAACTGAAGCCTCTTAATTCTGAAGTTATAATTACTCAGAGGGAGGAGTTTTTGGTTTTTCTCCTATCCCACCCTCGTAAGCAAACATTTCTGTCTCATTAAACTGAGACACAATTATTTGCTAAAACTTTTTCAAATTCCACCAAGCAAAATAAAATTTGGAAACGCTTGCAAGTCAAAGAGAAATACATGTAAGGCTACCAGAATGACATTAAAGAATCTCTAATGTTATTAGAGCATATTTTATGCCATGTCTTTCAAATAATGAATTCCCAAATTTTCTATCACATGCAATTTCTAGCTTAGTTTTTAAATTACTGAATTAGTTCAAATATATTGCAGGGCAAAAAAGCTTTTCCAATACTTACGATGAATGTAATACACAGGGAATTGCTTGGTGGTGGAGAACTGAGAAAAGGAGCAGAGTTAAGTTATGCTAAAAAAGGAGGACCAATTTGATGCAAGGCAAACACTTCAGGAAGCAAAAATCTATGCAGACATTATGAAAACCTGCAAAGGATAACACCAAACTGACTCTGGGGAAGGATTAAAAAGGAAACAGAGAAGACTGGAAAACAGTCAGAATTTCCCTTGATCTTACCATCACTCATGGGGCCAAAACCAGCTACTCAAGTAAAACTGGAAGTTGAAGAAAGCAAGCATACCACTTACCAAGTTCTTCCCTAGGAAATACAAGAAATGTGTTGTCCTCATTCAGGTTTTTGTTAAAGTCTATACACAGCTCATTCAATTTTTTCTTCATTGTCTTTATTTCCTGCATTGAGTATAAACTGAACTTAGTGGAAAAACAAAAATCAAAGTTGGTAATTTCTATCCTCCACATGAATAGTATTTCACTTTTTCCAGCTAGGCTTTCTACTAGCTGACAGTAAACACCAGCAGTGAGCAAATAACACACTGCAGGTAGCATCATACTTCACCACCACTTCATCATACTTCTCCACCAGCCTCCCTTTTATGTTTCTTTTGACCCTTAGCAATATTGTTGCCAAGGAACCCTGCATCAGGGCTATCACTCCAACATTCCAAACTCAACCTAGAGGGGACTGGACAGATTAAACACATTCACTGAATAGTTTATGTTCTAACACTCAATTATTTTCTTTTATTTGAAAAGCTAAATTACAATTTTAAGTGTAAAAATACCCACTAAAACAATTGAGAATGAAGGGAGTAAAAATGCATTCAACCTACTGAAAAACACTGCTTTGGAATTGTACAGGTATGGTATGACAAAAAGAACAGAATACCCCCACAGCATAAGACCACTCCAAAACCATTTTTAAAATCTGGATATTCATCCATCTGAAACATTTTCTAATATATCTCATAATAAATTTCTATACCTTACAGTCAAGTTCAAATAAACACAGTAGTTACCAGTAGGAGAATGCATACACAAAAAAAACCCCCAACACCTTGCCAAAGACTCCCATCAGCCAATTTTTTTCACCTAAATATAATTCAAGTATTGTCTCCTAAGGAATTTCAAAATATCTTTAGAGGCATCAGTTACCCTTAAACTATGAAAATACACACAAAACTGTTCTCACAAACTGAAAGATGTGGATGAAGAATGATTATTTTCTACAAAGGGTAAAGTCTACTCAAGAGTCAGAAATAAAGGCTGTTACATATATATGACTCAGAATTTAAAGAGAATTATGTTGGCATCTGTAGAAGGCTAGAAGATAAGGGGCCTATGGATATGCTTGAAATACTGATACCAAGATAGCCATGGAGCCAACCAAGGACTGTTAGTAAGAACAGCCAAGGACTTTTGTTAAAAAGAACAAGATGTGGCTGGAACAGGGGCCATATAGAATAAGGGCAGCCCTGTTCTGGAACAAACGTCCTTGTTCTGTCTCCTGAAGATAAGCACAACACAGTACAGCAGAGGCACAGAAACGAGGTGGAGAAGTGGGCATGGACTGTAGCAGGAGGGGGATCAAGACCACCACAGACCTCCAATGCCTTACCCATTTCCAAAAAGGTCTAGAAGAATGGACTATGCATGATAACTAATTCATTCAGAAAGTGCAAAATTTATCTCTAGGGCATGGGAAACTTATCTGTACAAAGTACACCCACCAAGCTCCAGGACTCTGGTCACCTTGTCAGCTGAATTGATGCTGGAGCCCAGATTAGTGATCTCATTCTCCCTTTCTCCTTTCTCTTTCCCCTTCTTTAATTCATCTCTCTCTCTGTCTTTTCCCTTTCACTCTACCCCTTTATCCAAAACCCACTGCCATATGCTTATACTAGGGGGTCAGGGACTAATACCAATTTCCAAGCCAAGTCTGTAATTTACTAATAAAACTTTGTAAGCTTTTGTGGACTCTCTGATTTTGTCATTCCTTTCAACCACAAGCATCTACAAGTCTTGGGTGCTCCCTTCTCCTTGAGGATGGGATGCCATAGCATCTCAGATGCTGTCAATTTTACTTCATGATTTTTGGAAGTGAGAATTGCTTTCATATGCATGAGTAAATCCTCTCTTAATGGAGCCAAAGTTCTCAGAGTCACTTGTTTCTTCCCTTTAACCTACTTTGATTTTTTTTTCAGGCAAAATGCTAAAATCCTGGATACATTTTACTACAGTGGTCAATAAATGAAATTAAAATAGCTGTGTCTTTGCAACAGTTATACATATTTCTGAACCGAAGTGCAGACTAACTTGTAACATTTTTTGAGAGGTCTCTTTGCTAGGAATCTTATTTAGGCATTCTCATAATCAGAATATATAACAAAACTCTTCCAGCTAGGCTTCTTTTACTCTCAAAGGCTAAAATGTGATGCATACCACATCTATCCACCGAGTACTACGAGTGTCTAGCAGATTAAAAACCTTAACATTTAAACACCTTAAAGTGACTGAAGTTTAAAGGATGGATCTGGAACTAAGAACAGTTAAGATCAGAGCAGTAATTCAGCAGATCCAAAAGCATGAAGTTCAAATACATGCTTAATACAGCTAACCAATCATAATTTTATCCCTTCAACAGTTTATAACCTTTGCTTTATAAACAAATGGTCCATATTTACATTCAGTACTTCTTTAGGAAGATGGAGTCCATTTCTTTTTCCCACTTGGACTGATTTCTCTAGATATCGCTTTGTTTCAGGCTTTACATTTTCAAGATTGCAGTTTTGCTGAAATGACAGAACAGAATACTTGAATTAACACAGTGTAAGAAACATAACAAACATTAGAAGGGTCTGAACAGAGTTGTTCTTTAGAGCACTGTCATAGTAAAAAAGGAACATGCCTTTTTAGTGTAAAGGACTTCCCCAAAACAGTTACCTTACACAATAGTATTCTTATATCGATGCAGAATGGTTTTAAAGTACAAGTAACTCAGCACTTTTACATGCTGTCATCATGGCAAGTCCTTTTAGTTTTCACTCCAGTGCACTTCAGCTTTTTCTGTAGAGATAGCTTTCTTATACACACTTCAAGAAAATCAGTGGTATAAGGTAATACTGTATGTTATAAGTCAGAGGGATTGAAAAAACTCCCAAATAATTAGATGTGTCACTGAAGGTTATCAGATGGCATAATATTTGAGCATATACATCTCTTTTTTTCAGAAACAATCAAGCAGTGACAACAAATAACCAGAATCACAGAATATTCTGAGCTGGACGGGACCCACAAGGATCATCGAGTCCAAATCTTAAGTGAATGGCCCGTGTAGAAATCAAACCTGCAACCTTGGTGGTGTTAGCACCATGTTTTAACCAACTGAGCTAAAAACAATATTTCTATGTTATGCCATTACAAAGACTCTTGAATCACCATTTCCTAAAGCATCAACAATAAGAGACAGGACAGTGTTTGCAACAGAACATGTGCAAGTCTTCCTTCAAATTGACTACAGCATAACTGTTTTACTCAGAAACTTGCTATTTTGTCCTAAATTGAAAATAACGGTGTACACCTTTTAATTTTATCTTCTCTCATCTAAAAGGAACATTAAAAAAGTTATTAACTTGGTAGAAAGGACATATTGTATTTAAGTTCACATTCAAATATGAAGCTGTTGGAATTAGCTATGACTTGTCTTAATAACCTCTCATCAGTTTACCTACACACAAATTAATGCTTGACTAGCATCTCTGAAAAGCACAGATGTTGAAACATGCAAATTTTATGAATGAGTCACACAATTGTGTAGAGCTGTCAACTAATGACTTGTCAGTACAGAATACCTCACTTCCTTAAATAGAAAAATTAAGAGACAGGAATGTAGTGGTATTCCAAGAAAAAAAAAAGTATAAATAAGAACTTTGAAACAGATTTTTCTGTCATTTAAAAATAATCTACACAATAACACAGACAATATCTACTCCTGCCAGTGCCCTGCACATAAGATTAGAAAATTTGTGGAAATTGGTTTCTAGAACCATGAAAGAGTTTAGAATAGTTTAGTTTTGTTTTTACTCTGCGCCTAAAACTCTAATGCATATACCAGTAGTCTACATGCAAGAATTTATAAGTCTGGTGAAACAAAATGACAGTTATTTCACTTTGTGATAAACTAACTTTTCTAAAGCAATAGGCAGACTTACTGTCACAGGAATGATGAATATTTTTTTCTTTTTTATATTATGTGTTTACAGGTAATTTTTATAAGAATCCATATTTTCATGGAAAGATGATCCTACTACTATAGGTCACCACACAGCTAAAGTCAACAATGATTCAACCAGGTGATTGCATGGAGTACCCCTCACTAGACCTATGATTTTTTTGCACCTAGCACCTAGATATCACTTTTGTTTGTTTGTTTTTAAATAAAAGGATGTAAATGGTAGAAATTTCTTTTTGGGAGAAAAGTAACTGAAGAAAATCACGACCTCTGTCCTCTCCAACTCAAACCTCATATCTCCATTCTCATTCCCAGTAAATGTGTAAGACAAGTCACACAGAGTATTTCATAACACAAAGATAACAAAAATGCTATTGCCCTACTCCCTCCAACACTTGAGTCTCCTGTTGTGTTTCTGGCAAATAACACTCTATGAAATTCTGCTGCTTCACCAAGATCTTCATGTTACCAAAAGCACTACATCTAGGAGTGTCGATGCTATAATACTCAGTACAAAAATAATTGTAGCAATCAAAATTAAATTCACATATTGTTTTTCCACTGGACAACCCACAATTCCAGGGTTCTTTTTTCTGACCTAAGACTAAGTGTGATGGAAATAGCACAACTTCAAAATGACAGAGGTGAAAAATGCAGACACTGCCACTATATTAACGTCATTTATACTGGGCTAACTGTGCTGCAAGACTCAAAAACAGAAAGGCTGAGGACAAAAAATTAAGTATGCTAAACTCTACAAAAAGCCAATGCTTTTATTACAGTAACAGTTTAGGACAGAGGACTGTGAAAAGTCTCACTGAGCTACTTAGGCACTATGCTGGATCTTCCAGTCCTTCCATTGGGCCTATGGAACTGTCATGCTCCTGAAAATATCCAGGGCCCAAATCCAGCAAAGATTTTAGGTGGAAGAAGGGAATTCACAAACACTAATTTTAAGCCCTTAAAGCCAGTGAATACTGGCTCCTCCTAAAGCTAAGACAGATGAAGATTCTTTTGGGCAAAAAGAGAAGAAAAACTAAGTGTTCTTCATCTTTCTCTTGATGACTATACATTTCTCCATACACTTTAACACTAATTAGGCTTTGTGAAGTTTATCTGCATCACAGATATGCTAAAGGTAAGAATGATACACATTCAAAAAGACGTCTCAGGTCTCTATGGATAAGCAAGCCTATAAACCTTCACAAGCACAGGAACCAAGGGTGCTCTGGGGCCATCTCTGAACTTTGGTCTGATCAAGATGGTCTTCATCACCTGGATTTTCTCTGATGAACAATTTCCGCAATAGAAATACTAATTTTGAATATACTCCACACATGAAAGGTTGGAACTCTCCAGAAGTTTTAGAATTGTCGTGTTTGATGATTTTATATACCATTTCATACTTCTTTTGGACAACCATGTTACGTTTTTCCAGGAAGAAATCTTCAGGCAGAGTAAGAAACAAAACCTACCTGGAATTCCATGAACAAAGCCTGCAGCAGCTGTTTACAACAGGCTGTTTCCTGAGGGCATGTGGGTGGAGAAGACTGGCAACATTCTTAAGCATGCCTCTGCTAGTCAGCATGTGCAGATATCAGGAGTAATAAAATTTAAAATGATACTTTCACTACCAAATTCACTTTTACTCCAAGTTTCAAACCTCAAAATTAAAGTTTTCCAACGAATAAGATCTGAAGCAAATTCAACAATATGATTTTATGCAGGAATTTTTTCCCCTAATGTGTCAGGAAAAGAAAGAGACTGCATTATTTTAATATTTTCTCAAATTAAACACAAAACCCTCAATCATTTTTCCTCGATCAATAGTTCTTAAATAAAGCATAATCTAAAAAGAATACTAAACAGTTCTTAGCTTGTAAAAGTTTAGCCCTCATTAAGGGGAGCAAAAACATTCAGGATATCACTATGATCAAGCAGATTTACTAGTCTCCTAGTGGACTGTGTTATAAAGAAAAGGGAAGTGTGAGGGCCCTCATTCTCCTCATCTCATTTTAATCTGGCCACGGTGCAGGACTGAATTCATCTACCTGAACTATTAAATCCCCAGTGAGGCCATGAAAAACTTGATTTCATGAAAATGTTTTACCTTATTTGAACTGATAAATTAATTTCAGCAGAAGTCTGAAGCCTGTTTTTCGAGGTTCTTTTTTTATGTGTTTTTTTTTTTATGTGTTCCTGGAGCCTGACTTTTTAACTAGGAGATTCTAACAGGAGAAGGCATTAGAAATTCAGCAAAAATTAACAAAAAATGTATAATTTGGAAATAGCAAGATTTCACCAGTCTGGCATTATTGGCAATTTCACAGTTGTGCTACAGCAAAACTGCTACCACTTTAACAGCTATTATGAAGCTGATATACGCTCAGAGGTTGCATCTCTGGAAAACTAATACTAAAACATGCTTGCATGCTGCAGTTAAGCCAAGAGAAATGTCTAAAAATACTGAATGGAGATTTAATCAGCAATTCTAACTGTCATAAAGGCCAAATATTGCTGCAAAGGTAAATGACAGGAAAACACCAAATGAAAGAGTTAAAAAATTTTAAGAAAGTAGTAGTAGCAAGTAACAGTAATCAGTTTTCACTAACTACTGTCAGATATCCTTGTAAATCAAAAATAGATAGATTCAGAGATATGGCAGATCTGCCCTAAATGTACTTGCATATATTATACTGGATGTTGGGGAAAACCACAGCAAATAATAAATACATATCCAACCATTTAATCACTAGCCAGAGCAGGGGAAGAAGAAAGAAATCAACATAAAGCACTATCTGCCAACACACAACTGAATGGGGCTATTATATACCTGTACAAACACATAAACAATACCCAGCTAGAGGAGAACACTTGAAAGTTTCTCTGGAAAACACAGCAAAAGAAGACAATGGTATTGGAAGGCACTTTAATAAGGCACTGCAAGCATTATTCTGGTTCTCAGTCAACACTGCAAAAAGCACCACCAACAACTCCAAGAAGTAGGGGCTCCAGTGTCTTATTAGCATTATGAGAAGGTTAAAAATTAGTGGGGTTTGAAAGGGAAGATTCACATGTAAACCATAGGAAAAAAAATATTTTAGTTTTCATATTTGATAGCTTCCTTGTATTATCCTTAAATCAGACATTTTTGGGAAATTATTACTAAATGTCACTAGATTTGAACAAAACCAAATATTCTTCCCATTTGAGCTACGAAATAATTAGTACAAATGAAGAATACAAGATACCTAAGGGTGCTCAATTAGAAGAGAAGCTAAACAGAAAAACAAAATGGATAGAAACTAGTCCAACAGGAAAAGCATTTTTTGACATAGTTTTATTTTGTGGTCAAAGCAACTGATGAGCAAAAGTATATAGTGTAACTGTCTATAATGAGCAGGTCAAAAGAGGTAATTTCAGAGGTCACTCCAAGTTATATGTTCTCATTAATCTTCATAACTTAAAACAACTTCTAAATTTAAAATTCTTAACTATTTCAATACAGTGTAAGTTTGGACACAAATTGAAAAACAGTATAAGCCAATGTAAATACAGTGCTGTATTGCCTCTTCCTTCCCTCTTGGAATGAGTTCAGGGAGCTCAGCCAACAGAAAACAAAAAAATGCTTCTCCTGATAGGTCTCCTTCTGTTAGTTTAGCTTCCAGCTTAATCAGCTCATTGGAAGACTAAAGATAAAATGGAGAAAAGAATACAGAGACCTAGATATGGCCTGCAAAGAGTGGAAGCACCAAGGTAGGTTGTTTTCTGTTGTATAGCTGTGTCCCACTGGAAAGATTTGATTGGCATAGACAGAGAGGAAATACAGAGTGATTTTGAAAAGCACTGAGTATAAGAACAAATTTTAGATACATTTAGATACATAACAAGTTATGCAGACATCACCATGATTTACCTGTAAATAAACAATCTTCTGAAACACATCTTCTCTCATGCTCATCTCCACATCGAAATTAGAAAGCTTTTTGTCAGCTTCTGTACTTGCTAAGCGTACCTCTTTGTCAGGTGAAATGTGCTGGGGAAAATCCAACATGCTTCTTTCCACTGTTTAAATAAGAAGCAATGAACACAGAAGGTTAGACGTGCCTTAAGGATAAGGAACTTTCCCCCTTCTGACATTTACAGAAGACATAAGAAACAAATATCCAAAGCAACTTGACGCTTCAGATCAGGCTTGAAGCAAATAGTTGTTACATATGAAGTAAAAATGAATAGGCAAAAGGACAAAACCACACACCATAGTATAGAGAAGCTATCTATTACCCAAGCCTAATTATCTCATTGTCTTCCACAAAATCAACTGAAAGGTGTATAAATATGATACAAATAGTTCATCTTCCAGAAGTCATGTAAGTGAAGACTGACATTGTTTCATAGCTGGCACAGATGCTTCCACGTTAGCACTTAAAGTCAAAAGCTCTGAATCTTTCAAACATGCCCATCTGTCTTGAAGTTATTTTTATATTGTTATGAGCTCAGTGTCAAATCCCCATGTACTGCACTCTTCTGTGTTTAAGGCAAACACAGAAGATACTATGTATTCTGAACTTTTAGAAATTAGAAGCTGAGTAATATTACTTTTATAGAATATACTTTTGAGATTAAGTAAATCCTTGCTTATTAAAGGAATATTACATCTTATAATGAGAAATAGAATAGAATAGAAATCCTGAAGTAGAAATCAATTCACTTAATTAAAAATCAGTTATAATGTCTCTACCCTTTACCTCTCCAAAACTACATCTTAGAGTAACAACATTTTAGCAACACCATTTTAGCCTGATTTAAAGCTTTGTAATTTTATGTAATGTGCAGTTGTTTTATCAAGTCCTGAGATACTCTCAGCCCTTCAGAAATCTCTGGAATGCAAACATGGGCATATGGTTCTTCTTGAAGTCCATAGGAAACTTTCCTCTCCACATCCTGTCCTCATGCCAAAATGTTTAAAAATGATAAGGTGAGTTTAGGCAGTTTTCAACTGACTTGTAAGGCCTGTTGTCATCTCTGGTTTTTGGGATAATAATTTCCAATTACTAGGGCAGGCCTTTCATGTGGAAGGAACACACTGGCTTTAAATTCTAAGGTTCTAATGGAAGTCTTGCTGTGGTAATACTTATTATATGCCATGGGCTATTTCACAGTAAGTCATGATAATGTCACATATAGCTTTGAAGATTAGCATTAAAAACTGAAATGTGACCCATTATGGCAATAGCATGTAGTGAAAAAAGTATATTTTGGATCAACCGTTAGGGGCTATGCTGAGAAGCTGATAGCCATTATTTTCCACGTCAAACAAGTGTTTCCTTCTAATTTAATTTAAAGAAGAGAGTTTTACGCCTTGGTGAAAAGGCTTACAAAAATTATACCAAATACATTGGTACAATTAAAACTGAATCTGGCAGGAAGTTGTCTGAATGAAGATTACTCAGTCTTTCTGCCAGCATAAATTCCAGCCAGTTCACTGTATGTGCCTAAACTGCAATTTTAAGTAATGTGAAAGCCAGACTAATATTACAGTACAATAATTTGAGCTGTAGGCTGATCTTGTTTGCTAGTCAAAGCTTTTCCTCCAAGCCAAGGTTGCTGTTTTCAGCACTTCTGTGGCTACTGCAGATTTTTTAGAGTTTTCAAAATAACTTGACATTTATTACACTGACTGCTTTGTAAGTAATGCAGCCACCATCTGACAGGTTTTTCAAAACAAAGCTACTCAAGACAGGGTTCATATTTTTCCCACTCGTCTGACTGACAATTATTAACAAATTACCTCTATAACCTGTTTTGACCATCAAACTGCATCCATACACTGACATGTCTGGATAACTCAGTCAGAACAATCTAGATGTGAGTGCATGATGAACCTCTCCCTGGATTCTACCAGGCTTTGCAAGCCATAATACAAAGGTAAGCAAGTAAAAGGGTCTTCTTTCAATAATGCATTCAAAAATTCCTTCATTCTCAACCATCACATTTTCTCCACTAGCGGTTTACCAACCTTTCCATTGCTCCATTTGACTCGCTTGTCTCAGATTCTGCAGTGTCTGAAAAAAAGCACTGCTTACCAGGTTTAATGTATTACACATACCAAAGACACTGCACACTGTCCCCTGCACAGAGTTGGAAAAGAAATCAGGGGACCAATGCAGTTCTCTGCATGTGTCAAAGACATCAACAGCACAGTTTAGTCAATCCTTGTTTTTATCTCTAGAATAAAGGAGTAGAACTTTGTAGCTGATCATGTTACATATTGCTGAGAGGTCCTGAAAGATCATTATGACCAGAGGACTCTTGAGAGGCCTCTACACAATAACAGTAGGGATCAAAATTGTAAGCAATTACTATTTTTTCTCAATGTTTCTTTATGTGCAGATGGAATGCCCTGTAGAAAGAATCACAAAAAATATACACTAACCTGCGTATTCCACTTCTATGTCTGCCAAAGCCCGTACAGTATTTTCATGTGTTACTTCTTCAATATCAAGCATCCCGACTCTGTCATAGACATGCTTTGTCTTCCTCATAAGTTCTTCTGTTCTTGTTCTAATTTCCTCTGGTGACAGGTCCCATCTCAAAAGGTTTCGGCCTGATGCTATGTATGAAGAAGCCTTAAGCTGGCTAGTAATTTCTGTTCCTAATGTCATCCTCAACACAAGCAGTGGCCCAATGGACCTAGAAGTACAAAATTGATCTTTGTATAGCAAGGTTCTAGTTCAAGAGACAGTGTACAGTAAACATTAAAAACCCCAGCATCAGCATATTTTTAGAAGCAAGAACAAAGTCCTTTTTAGAGTCATAGCTTGTCCAGCAAGCTGTTACTTTTATGAATTAAGTCTAATTTTAAATAAATCTGCCTTCTATCTTTACCATTTAGGGTATGACTAAGTGCAAACAGGGACAAAACCTTTGCTATTGACCAAACTATACAGGTTACGCTACTACTAACCCTTCTAAGAAAAAGAGAATTGCAGTTACTGAAACTTCACAGATAGTACTTGTATTTTTGAAGTAAGGAATAAAACCCACATATTGTTTTGCAGATGATGAACAAGAAGACTGCAAAGATGCACAACATAAGACATAAAACATATCACTTGATCATGTTCATTATGGCAAATAATTTTACATTTATACAGGATGTCTGCAACATAATCAACATGGAAGGAAAACTTCTATTTGTTACTCACTTGCAAATGTATTCCTTTAATTGTTGTGGATTTTAAAAAGATGGTTTCACTCTTTTGCCAGAAAAGGTATATATGTTTACTGCTTACTGGAATTTATGTACTATTAAACCTGATTATATAAACCAACTGTATTTCAGCTTTAGCTAGGAGAAAGATTTACATACGCAACTGATCTTAGTGCGCTAGGCAATCAATGGCTTTGACAGCATTAAAAAAGTGACTTGCAGCAACGAATCCAAACATGTTAAGAAGAAACTGGCTTCAGAAATACAAGCTTCTACCTTTCCACTGCAACAAACCAACACTTAACTTAGTTGTAAAAAGGAGAAGGATATAGAATCAGGCAACTGACTGAAGTGGGGCTAACAGAAACCCACAGAGCCAACAAGGTGTCCACCCAGTGACTACATCAGTAGCTCAGTTATATATGAAGTAGTTGCTGAGGAAGATAATAATTTGATGATAATTAAAAGACAGCCTGCATTCAAAGAGTAAAACTTGCTGCAGTGTTTACTATCACAGGAAGATCGCAAGAGCATCACATGAGAATCTCTGCCTGTCAGAGACTTACTGTCTTCCTATTTCAGCCACATAATTAAAAAAATAAATCTTATGTTGTTATGTAATATTGACAACTTAAAATTTTCAGCCATAACTAAAGAAACACACAGAAAGCTTCCTACAAAAAGAGATGCTTAATTAACACTGTTTCTACATTAAGTAACTTTTTCTCTTAATGCTAGCCACTGTATCTGTATTGATTTTATTGTAAAATCTGACTGGTATGTCCATAAGTGCATGAACAGGTTCTGGCATACAGTGCAGAGAGCAAGAAGGATAGGCAATTTTCGACTGAAGGAATAACAAAGCAGAAGACTGAAATGCCAATAAACTAAAAAGGGCTGCACACATGGCTTCTGTTTGAAGGGAAGACGTTTTGTTAAAAAAGGGAATTTCTGTAGAAATAGCTTAGCCAAAATTATTTTTATGCAAGACAAAACCAAATGACAACATTTCTATCTACACTTTAAGTTGAAATTTTATTTTCCTTATTCTTCAAATCCTTCCATAGCAATGTAGGCAAGTTGCTTACTCTTCCTTTCTACTGGGAGAAAGAAACATCAATGTCCAGAAATACTGATGATTTCACTTAGAAAGTGAAGTCTGAACACAGAACATTTGTTCCACCTCTGTTCTTTCTCTCTGATACCAACTGACTTCTGTCATTAATGCCTTAGTTGCTTCTCCACTGGACTACTGACACTTGGAATCTCAGAAGTCTACAATAAATGAAGCTGTTCTCATGAAAGCAAAAGGTTAAGTATTAGCATGCTCAGAACGCATTAGTTTCCCATCTCCAAAACCCACTGAACTCTACATTAAATCTACAAATCCACTAAAGAACACTACTTCATTAAGTCACAAACAGATTCCCACTGGACTGCCCTATGTCTAGTTTTTCACACATTGCTAGCACAGCTCTAGTACAGCCTCTTGGAAGCTGAAGGGGAACCTCCTCAAAAATAGTTCAAGGCTCTGAATTCTATCCCACACCACCCACCCCAAAGAACATCAGGAAAAATACACAGTGTTCTGAATTAAGGTCAAAATAAAAGAGTTAAAGGAAAACAACAGCCTGAACAACACAAAAGTATGTTAAAGTGCAAGATATTAAACAGATGCTCTTTTCTAAAGGGAACCTACGGCTTTCTGTCATTCAGTATCTTCACCTAGATGCGTAGAAAACAGAGCCCTGTTGTCAATGACCAATTACATATTATCAAAACCAAACACTATAACAGGCACAGGACCAACGGATTACATTCATTGCAGCCTGTCCAACTAGATTCATTAATAATTAAAGTTGGACTGAGTTCATAAACTTGAATGCAGGGTCCCTAATTACTGCACAGCACTATTTTTAAATTTGACTTAAAATTGATTTTTTTAGTATATTGTCTAGTTGCATTGAGACATACGCATATAAATTTGACAGCTGTATAAATTATCGCCATAAATCCCAACAAGTTGTTGTCTGCCTGTTGGAAACAAGAAAACACAGATCAGCCCAGTTCTGAAATGCCAATACCTTGTCTCCTGCTGATAGGATGAAGCAGTCATTTATGTATGTTATTTTCAATAATAATAGGCAGTACAAACTCAGAAAGACCTCCAAGTTTTTCTAACTGGCCAAATGACAATGGGCCTTCAAAAACTGTAATATAACATCTCATATAACACCAGTCACTACATGTCATTCTTCAAATAACCTTTTACACACATGTTGGTACTGGCTACCAGTCAATCAGATGTCCTTGTACTAAAGACCAAATTAACTGACATCAGATTAATGGAAACAGCATGTGAGTAAATATATATGCACAGATGAAATTTTGGCCATTTTCTTCACGGATTAGTATTTTGAATTATTTATCCATATAAAACTATAAAGAAATAAATTCCCAAAACTTCATGTACTATACTGCAATTAAATTGATAATTTACTAACTTTACCTTATTTGTTCAAGAAAGAAACAAATAAACAATGACAAGATTAAATTCTATAAATAGACTACAAAGAAACAAGAAAGAAGAATATAACTATGGTAGTAGGATGTTCAAAAACGCTCTGCAGTTACATTTGTCATGTTATTAGAGAGAAAATACTAAATTGTATCACTGAGGGAATCTTTAACTTCCCAGATATAAACTGGAAAATAAAGTCTATTAATAATGGTAGGAACCAGATGGTTTTCTTCAAATACTGAATGAAGAGGACGGAATTATTATTTTAGGCTTGCTTTTGGTAAACAGCAGTAACATTAGGGAAGAGTCAACTACTGCTTAGACTGAGCAATCAGAAGTTGATTCAGTTTAAATCAGATGGAAGGATGTGTGCCTTGCATTGACTGAACTGTCAAGTTCAAACTGCTTCAGCTATCATGCTCAATTTTCTGTGGTGCAGTGTAGAGCACTAGATAAATGTAAACAAGTCGGGGTTAAGGATAAGGTTCACGTCCAGCAACAGTACTGCCTTAAGACATTCTTCTGTCAGTGTTCCACCCTCTGTTGCTCATTTGTGTCCTTGTACACCACTCCGTCAAGACAGCATACAGATGAAAATAGAGCGGACCAAAAAAATTCAGGGGGGACAGCTTTTTTTGAGCTAATCAGTCCCATCACCTATTTGATGTATGACTTCAAAACAGCTGTGTTGGCCTAAATGAAAGCTAAAAAGTGTCAGTAGCCACTTAAGCCTGCACTAGTGCTAGAAGCACATATGAAATGCATGAACTTAGTCCAGCAAAAAGAGTCTCCAGATGATTGCTCTCATTAAGCACATACGATGTAAATGTCCAGAAGTTTAAAGAGCTATCGATGCTAAAAGGCAATACTGACATAAGAACAAATTAGAATAAATTGGTCAGGAATACATGTAAGCTGGAATTGCAAGACATTTGTAAGCATCAGGGTAGTGAGATTCTGAAACAGATGCCAAATAAGCACCAGCAAATGAAAACATCTCTATTTATAACATGGTGCTTGACCAATTAAGATAGTATGAGACTAGATCATCCCAAATGCCCTTCCAGTCCCTATGTTCCTCTGAGGTCCTTCAAAATTAATGCACCTTTATTTATATTGCATTTTTATAATAAATATGTAACTGGCCTCTGCAACTTGCACTGGCCTTTTTCTGAGGTGAATACTATGGCATCTAATAATGTCACTGGAATGACATACAGGGCAGACTACATATTATGCATTTTGCATATATATATTATGCATTTGTGCACTGCTTCATCCATTTATGAGAACATTGGGAAGAAAGGCACACAAAGTTTGGGTTGGACTTTCAGATAAAACAAAGAGTATAACAGAGGCAGCTGTTTTCACAAATTATGGTATTAATCTGCCAATCCCCAAAGCAGTAAGAATGGTACTTTTTACAAAAGCAGAGTAAGTTGAATAACACTGAAAAACTTAGTAGCTACTTCTAAAAGAGGTTTTTAAAGAACAAAGCCAAGCCTCTAAGTTACAGACTGCAATCTGTAGAATGTCAGGTAATTTCTTTTACCAACAAATCTACAATTTGATTACTTGATGCCTCTGGAAAACATAAATTTGATTTGATTTTAGAAAGGGGAAGAACCTTTAAAATACTCTACTGAAGCAATACAAACAACACAACTGAATTTACAGACTTGATTTTTAACTTGTCTTAAATATATTAAACATTTATGTAAGTCTGGTTTTGCTTACAAACATTTTCCGTGACTGAAATATGCCAAACAAGCTTTTTTTGGTATGTTCCATTAACACTACTAAAATAAAACACAAAAGCCACGATCTTTGAAGAAGCATCAGTGAGGGGCAGCACCAGTTTTAAAAAATACGAACACAAAAACCTGCAAGCTTGTCCACAACATGCTCCTACTAATGATAATCACTGTATAATATGGTCAAGATTAAGCCCACTGTCTC